AGAGGGTCAGAGAAACAGCCCCATGGGAAAACTGGGGGGAGGAAAGGGTGAGTGGGAGCACAGGGATCAGAAGGGCTGGCAGAGACCCACACACTTGCTTTTCTCAGATTTTAGCGGTGTTCTGGGTCGTGGTGGTGAACGAGCAGACATGGTCCTGCTGTGGTGGGCTTGCTGCCTGGGGGTAGTCTCTAAGGCCCAGCAGCCTGGGCTCTTCAGTACTAATTGTAAGCCTGGAAAGTGGGTGGAGCCAGAACTGGAAAGTGCCTTTGAGAGCTTTGCTCCCAGATAGCAGGAGGCTTCCCCAGAGAAGGAGACAATGGGAGGGGGAGGGGGGGGCCCGGGGGGCCCCTCCGACCCAGGTGCCTTGACTGTTCCCACCAGCCCACGACAGTTGAGCTGCCCCTCCTCTACATCAGAACAGTAGGCTATGTGTTTAGAGTGGAACTGCAAGGCAGGCACAGAGAGCTCCCACGTCCTCCCCCAGCCCAGGCCATCACAGTGCCAGGTGGAACCTTGCTACAGCAGATGGGCCTGCGTAAGGACACTGATCCCAGCTGCTTTAAGATGAGCTTTTCTGGCCAGGCTCAGTGGTACATGCCTGGAATCCCAGTGACTCTGGAGGCTGACAGAGAGATGATGGCAAATTCGAGGCCGCACCCAGCAATTCGGAGGGACCCTCAACAACAAACTTAGTGAGACTCTGTCTCAAAATCAAAATCAAAAGGACTGGGGATGTTGCTCATCGAGAAAGCACCCTGGGCTTCATCCCTGGTTCGAAAACAAAGCGTTTTTCTGTTCTTAACCTTCAGGAACCCTGGAGAAAATGTCAGGGTCCCCAACTCACTGAGCATGGTGACTTCCAGGCAGGCACCTTGGGATCATCTTTGGCCTTTTCCCACAATCCAGAGGTAAAGGTACCACTTGGGCCAGGTGAGTCTGGTCCTCTTCTGGGTGTGCATCTGGGTGTGTAAATGAGATTCTCTGGCTGAGAGGCTCCAAAGTACTTTCCAGTAGTTTCCAAAACTGAGGCATCGTTGACCTGACAAGCTACTGCAGAGTGCCAGCTATTTTTGTTTTTGTTTTTTGGAGGGTTACTGGGGATTGAATTCAGGGGCCCTCGACCACTGAGCCACATCCCAGCCTATTTTGTATTTTATTTAGAGACAGGTCTCACTGAGTTCATAGGGCCTCGATAAGTTGCTGAGGCTGGCTTTGCTCCTCTGGCCTCAGCCTCCTTAGCTGCTGGGATTACAGGTGTGCACCACTATGCCCAGCGGGTGCCAGCACTGGTTCCACTGGTGAAAGTGTCAGCGTGCTTGCTCCTGTGGGCTTCCTGAGGGGCTCAGGGTGCCTGCAGTGCATGTGCTCCAGGAAGAAGGGACTCTGCTCCAGTGGATGGAAGGCATGGCCCTCATCTCAGGGCAGGGACTGAGCACTTGTTTAGTGGTGATTTTCACCTGGAGAGATGAATTCTGTTATCAACGCTATGGAATCAGTACTTCTACATTGGGAGGATCCCACAGAACATCTATTCTAGCCTCACATGTCTCAGATGGCGAGGCTGTGGGCAAAGAGGCAGAGACTTGGCCAAGTGCAAGTGGCTTCTGTGGTGGAGAGAGAGCAGAGGTCCTGCAGGGACTCCTTCCCAGACAGTCCTCCCTCCCCAAGCCCAAACATACATCGCTGGTTGTCTTCACAAGCTCTGTGGTAGCTTGGGAAAGTGTAGAGGTGGGCTGCTCCCAAGTGCCTCTTGCAGAGGCACCACGGGACCCAGGAACAGTGACCCACGCCTGTAATCTCAGCGGCTCGGGAGGCTGGGGCAGGAGGATCGCAAGTTCAAAGCCAGTTTCAGCAACAGTGAGGTGCTAAGCCACTCAGTGAGACCCTGTCTCTAAACAAAATAAAAAATTAGGCTGGGATGTGGCTCAGTAGTCGAGTGCCCCCGAGTTCAATCCCTGGTACTCCTCCCGCCCCCCGCCCCCGCAAAAAGCGTGCAGTCACCTTATGTTTTAAATTGAACCTCTGGGACTTGTGTGTGGTTTCATCTCAGATGCACACTCTGCCTCTACCTGGGGTGCCCTCAGCTGTGTTCAAGACTTACTTTGGGGGAACCTTCAGTGTATTTATATTAGGGAGCTCCAGCAGGTGCCCCTGGGAGGTTGAGGATTCTGGACGTGATCAGTCAGGCCCCTGCTCTTCCGAGGCTCATCCTGGTTGGGGGAAGACATGGACACCATCACCTAACTTCCCTAACTGGAAGTTCCATTTTTTTCAGGTTGTATTTTGAAAAGGCACCAATAACATGGCTGTAGGTCACTTGGTAACTGATGTCTCTGTGAAACAGCTGGCTGGATGCCAGCTGATCTGAATTTGAACAACAAAAAACATCATCGTTACAGCCTGCCAAAGCAGGAGGAATGACGTACCTGGAGGGAGTTCCAGTCAAGAGCACAGCACATGCCAGAGAAGGTCAGTTCAGATGCGCCCCGGGGAATACAAGTGCTGAAGAACCAAGGAGGGCAGGAGGGGACTGAGGCCAAGAAGTGACACCTGAACTGGGCCTTGCAGATGGCAGGGTGGGGGAGGGAAGGCACAGCTTGTGTGGGAATGGACCTGGGGACATGGCAGAGCCTGTAAGAAGGTGGGCAAGGTGGCCCGTGCCATATGGCGTTTGGAGTTCAGATTGTGGAAGACGGGGTTTCGAGGAGACAGACAGTACTGGCAAATGGCTTTTAGGGGAATCAGGTGGGAGTGTGGAGAGTGGGCTGCTGGGGGGAGGTGGCACATTAACCCACCTGAAGCCCGCTCCTCACCATTAGACCCAGTGGAACAAGAAGCAGACACTTCAGTGGGCCGGGTAACGCCACGGCCCTACAGACTGCTATGAAGGGAATCCAAGAGGGTGGGGGATGGGGGTGAGTCAGGGTCTTCCGAGGGGCAGGCAGAATCCCAGGGTGCAAGGATGACAGCTGGGTGTGGCCTCAAGGCAGAGCCACAGCCTGGGGGGAGGACCTAAGGTGGAAGGAGGCAGGAGAAGCACCTGTCTCGATGACGGAGGGCAGGTGGGGAAGGAGGGAGGGCCAGAGTGGAGGCCACTATTCACCCCGAGGACTCAAGATGAGGAGCCTGGTGAGTGTCCTGGGGTTCAGGAGTGTCTAAGGTATGGAGGTGGGCTGCTCGGACAGGCGTGGCTCAGGTGGAAGAATGTCACAGTGGAAACTGGCCTCTCCTGTGCAAGATGAAGGTGGGACCACAGCCCCTGTAGCAAGGCACTCCCTTCCTCTTCTCCTTTACACCATTTTCTCTTTTTCCTATTGCTTTAACATAGTTACTGCAATTGTTCCACTTACTGACCTAGGGGACTGCTGCAGCATCGACATTTGTCCCCTTGCAATTTGTATGTTGAAATCCTTACCCCAATATGAAGTAGGGCCTTTGGGAGTTAATTAGGTCACTAGGTATGCCCTGGTGAATGGCCCTGGGAATGGCCCTCATAACATGAGGGCTGGCCGGCCTCTTCCCACCATGGACTGTGGATCCAGGAAATGGGCCTTTGCCAGACACAGAGTCTGCAGTACCCTGACCTTGGACTTACTGGCCTCTGGCACCGTGAGAATGAAATTCTGTTGTTTATACGTTACCCAGCTAGTGGGCACGGCAGTCTGTGCTTCGGCTTCCTCGACTTGTGAGTGGCGACACCATAGGTACCGGATCTGATGCTTCCTCCTAGAAGCCCAGGTCTGACAAAGGGCTTCCCGACTCAGGGCACAGCAGGCCTGAGGCCTCAGCGGTGGCCTTCCTCACCACTTGGTTGTCTGACATATGAGAGAAAGGGCCCAGGAGGACTCTGCAGCCATGCAATTTGGATAGAGTGTCAGCTGTCATCACAGGGGCTGCTCCCCACACTGGAGGCAGAAGGCAGGGGCAGCAGGCTGAAGGGCAAGTCAGAAACTTCCAGAAATGTGCCAGGAAGGAGAACTGGGGATCTTGAAAACAAATTAAAACATGTTCAAGAAGATTTGAGCATGATTAAATGCTAATGGGACTCTAGAAATGAAAAGGCCAACTACGCAAGAGAAGATGGCAAAGCGTGGTAGGGAGCAGGCACAGAAAACAGGGAAGGGGGCCACCTGCGAGGTGAAGGCCCCGCCATCAGAATGGGTGGAACACAAGGAGGTTTACAGAGCTGGTGGCAAAAGTTCATTCAGGGAGATCCTATCTGAAGGCCCCCACTGTCTCCATGAAGTGGGATCCGCGATACCCTGGCAGGGTTAATTAACCCATTAAGTTCATCGTCCCATTTATGAAACACTTAATAAAACTTAAATTGGACAACAAATACACGACTTATGGTAACTTTGAAATAAATGGTCATGTGTTTAGAGTTCTATTTTGAGAAAATAGCAGGTATATGATTAGTGATAACATTCACATTGAATATCATTAATGTTATTGATAACAAATTATATAGAAAGCTCTAGACTGATTCATAACCTATTTTAATGGACCTGTGTCAATTTCACTGAAATATTTGCAGGATTKAAAACTTGGGACTTAAGGGGTTGAAGGAGTTGCAGGTCTATGGAGAAGGGAAACTGGGAATGTCACACCTTCGCTGTCACTGGCTGAGAAGCCTGGACTAGAGGGATGGCAAGGAAGGCACAGGAAGAAGGAAAGGTGCAGCAGGAAGATGGGGAAACAGGCATGAGGCTGGTATGAGAGGCAGACCCCCAAGAGGTCAGGCAGATGGAGCTCACGAGGTAGTGAAGGAGGGAGGAAACGGGGAGGGAAGGGGCTCCAGAACCTCAGTGGAGCCGGGGCTCAGCTCAGACCCCAGCGGCTGCCTCATCTACCTCCAGCTGATGACCACTCAGGTCTTCCATGAGAAGTCTCTGTTTTCCTTCTTCTTTTTCTCCATCTTAGAGAGTCAAATGCAGGGCACATCTGAGTCTCGGGTGCAGGCATCAGGGAAAGAGGACCAAGAGACATACGCCAAAGAATGGTGTTTCTCTCTTTTATTTAAAAACAGTGCTTCATTACCATTTGCAAAGGCTGAGGCAGTGCTCCTCCTTCGCTTAGAGTTTATAAAAGCCAGCAACATGATCAATAATTTATACACATGGAGAGTAATACAAAAAAATAAGGAATAAAAGCTAAAGATCTAACTACTCCGACCTTCACAATTCCAGCTACTTGATAATAATAGGAGTAACCCAATGAATACTGTATGGTCTGAAAGCTACTATACAATATGATTCTTAACAAGAAGGGACGGGAATTAGAGACTGTCACAAAGCCCTGGGATGCTTCTCTGGAGTTAGCAGGGAAACAGGACCCTGGGCAAGCAGCTCGGGTGTCCTAGGGAGTGATTTTGGGGGAGGCCAGGAGGGGAAGGAGAGAAGGCTAGGTGTCAATTGTACAAGCATCCCATGGGATGCCCCCATGCCCCAAAGGTACCTGTTCTGCCATGGCGACGGGAGGGGCTGGAGACCTGCACGCTGGGCTGGCCCAGTCCCTGCCATGGGCGTGGGGAGGAGAGGAGAGGTTCTGCAGTGTTTTGAGCCTTGCAAAGATTTGGACTCAAAAGCTCAGCGCCTCAGGGAGGCCACCCTGCTGGGGACAAGGACACTCCGCTGGCTCTCTCCTCACGTGCAGCCCTAGCTTATGTGCGTCAGCCCCGGGTTGGCTCCAGCTATTCACAAGCAGAAWGATAACACAAGGAAAAAAAAAATCCATGTCCGTTAGGGAAAAAAGAGGATCAATTCATCACTCGAGATTATATATATATATATATATTTATATATATACTACAGCCAAAATGAGCTGCCAAAACAAGACCGCACATACAGAACACTGTCAACAGAAAACACCAGAGGATGACTGCACTGGGGTCTGGGTGGGTATGGACATGGCTTAAAGCACTTATCAGTCCCCGGAAAAAAACAAACCAAAAACAGTTTTTTGAAGAATTCAAACCTCATATAGCCCCTGGGACTCTGGTGATGGTGATGGGTGGGGGAAGGGAGGGAAAGAGAATCGCTCTTCCCTTTCTGCTTGCGGGGGTGGTGGCGCCCTCCCAACACCAGCACGCATACACCTGCCAGAAACAGAGCCCCAACCCCCATCTGGCAGTCTCCTGACAGGCAAGGTCTGGGTTTTGGCTGAAGAGCGGTTCTCTCGGTTACCAATCCCTGCCAACCAGCACTACCATGGCTGAATTGATCTACCGTTTTCCTGAGTAAACTGTAACTGGCTACAGTTTCGGTAACGAGGATAAGAACTCGGCTCCCACAGCCAAGGCAATACTTCACTCACCCCAGGCTCCTGGCTCCTGGCTGCTGACCCCTCACTGAGAAAGGGGTCACTTGCGGCAGTCTGGTCTGGGAGCCTACTATCAAAACAAAGTGCCAGGGACTCTGCCACACTCAGTCACCCAGAGGGCACATACTGGCTTGGGACACCCAGAGCCTGCTTGGAAAGGGCCCTGTTTCACTCTAGCTCACGGATGGCTTTGCCTGGCTGATCAGTACAGCAAGGGTCAAAGGAAGTGCACGGGAAAGAAGGGAGGGGAGAGGCTTTCGGACAGTAACATTTCCAAAAAAATAGAGTGTCTTATGCAACAGAGAATCAAGTGTCACTGGTGTATACTACAAATGTCAGACATTCTCAAGAGCATGACAAAATAAAAACACACAAGTTTACATCTGATGTTCACCTCGCCCACTATTTTTTTCCTATTTTAAAACAGTGCAAACAGGTAACTTATGCTTTTAAAACACCACAACCCCTTCCCCACCCCCCACCCCCAAAGTCCCTTTCCTCCTAATATCTGGGGGAAAAATCTGCAATTCTGCAAATGTTACTGTGCTAGAGGGCTGTAGGCAGCAGAGAGCCAGGCTGAACTGGGTGACAGGGGAAAGGTCCCAGCAGCTTCCCCTCCCTCCTCCAAGGCCAGTGCTTTCCAGACTCCCTCTGCGGTCTTGTTGTCCCGCCAAAGGGAAGGGGGTTCCTTGTGCCTTTCGTGCATATCTTGGGGGTTGCTTCCATCCCCGTGTAAGGAAGTTGACTAGTTACAGGATGATGGMGATGCCCAACTTATCTGCTACATCTCTAGTAAAGCACAACCTAAGCTAAGAGCAGGTCAGCCCCTGAGGAGTCCACGTTTGAGGGAAAGCTGCGCTGGTTGGTGTCTACCGACTAGATCTCCACTAGCTCCCCTTAAACTAAGAGCCGAGCCCCAGTCCCCTTCTTTTTCAAGGAAAGAAAGTATATTGGCTCAATTGAGACTGAGGCAGCTGGAGGATGGTGTGATAGTAGGTTTTGTTAAAACCTGAGAGCCTTAAAGATGATCATGATGGTGGATCCGAGTTCGTGGGAGTTCAACACACACAAGAAATTCTGGAAAAGACCTAGGGCCAGTTCTCTGGGCTGAGAGAAGGACAGTCAGATAAAGGTCACACTAGAGGTCTCCTTAAAAGAGGTGACCTTAAAGAGGTGTAGTGCTTAAAAGCTTCTATGAGTAAGATGCTTAGTGTAGAAAGTCCAGGTGGTGAACTACAGAAAAGCTGAAAAAACTCATTCACATACTGTGAGCTGGCCTAACTAAGGTTTTTTGGAATTATCGACCAGCACCCTCAAACAAACTCACAAAATGCCAAACTGCTCTTTTTCTGAATCCACTGAGAACTAGAGTCCAGGAACACACCAGCTCTGCTGCTCTGGGCAACCTGCCTCTGACGAAGCGACTGTAGCTCAGAAGTTGGTGGGAGGGTGACACTGTCGTCTAGATGCTGAGCAAAACCCCAGTTCCCAGTGTTGACCCTGAAAACCAAAGACCCTTCCATGAAAAGCAGAACTCTGTGTAATCTTTTTTAGAAAAGGGAGCTGGAGCAGCAGCGATGGGCTTCGGACAGCATCCGGGAAGTGCGGCAGAACCCACTGGAAAGCCGAGCTTGCCTCGGGGCCTCAGCCAGAACCAGCTGAGCTGAAGTGCACACAGTCCCTCACCTCCAGCGCCTGCCTCTCCTGACAGGGTAGGGGGAGCTGCCTTCTCTACCTGGCCCATCATCCTTATTTCTGTCTGGGAAAAAAGAAGAAACACATTCTTAAACCCATTCCCCTGTTTCCCTGCCCTGCTGTGGATACAACCATTCAGGATGTAGCCTAGTCTCCACGGGGCTAAGTGGCTTGCCAGCTTGCAAGAATGGCCCTTACTGAACAGGACCCCAAGTTTCTTTTTCTTTAGTCAGCAAAAGTTCTCCTCAAAAGGAAAGCAAAAGAAAGAAAAGCCCTCACTGCCCTCATTCCCTGGAACTGTGAAAGCCCCAGATCCCATCCCCCCTTCCTCTAACTGAAATATTTATATACATATAACAAAAACTGTCCTAACAGCAACAAACCAAGCTTTGGCTTGAGGGGAGGGATCCTATACATGGCCAATGGACCGGGCAGTCTGTCCCTACCCTACGTGCTCCCCCAGAATCAGTGACCACACCGAGATCTCCGGTTCCAGGCATAGCCTCTCGGCCACTGTCAAGGTTCCAGGGAGAAGAGCTGAGGGGAGAAGATCTGTGTCACACACAACAGGCCAGGGCCCTCCCTGACATGTCACTCTGCTCACAAAGACTGCCTGATGCTGTCACATGTCAGCCATTTCAATTCAAGGACACGAATTGGTTATTAGCCAAGAACACATGTGGAGGTGGGAGTCAGAATACAAGCCAAGACAAACCTGACAAAGCAGAAGCGCCATGTCTCTGAATGACTCCCTTTAGCAGCCATCCCTTGGGTGCAAGATCACCCTAGTACCATGTGAGCCGGCCAGGGAGCCTAGCAGASGGTGCTGTTCCATTTCCTAATGCCTCATTCTGGAAACACCGGAGGATGCTTGTCTATGTCACACCTAGGGGCTCGGAGAGAGTCACTCCTCCCTGCCTTGGTGGTGTAAGACTGAAGCCAGGCAGCAACAACAGGGACTCCCTCCAGGGCTCTGCAGGAAGACCACGGCCATGTCACCCTCCTTCCATTGTGGGGTCTGAATTTGTGTCCTGTAGTGTTAACTACACCAAATGGACCAGGCTTTCAGCTGGTGTCTTTGGAGGGTAATGAGAAGCTGGGTGAGATGGCCATGGGAGCTGGTGTCTGTGGATAGAGAGGTGACTCACAGAGGCTGTGGAAGATGAAAATTCCTATGGCTTTGGAGCAAGTACAAAGTGTCTCTGACTGCCCTCTATGTCCTTATCACCAAAACATCCAGGGACAGCCAACCCAGGGGCTTGGTGCCTTATCTTTCCCCAACAAATCTTTGTTTTTTTTATCCTTTTGTTTGTACTGACTTTCTGATGCAAGAAAAAGACAAGGACTCTCAGACCTTCTAACATGCCTTTTCTCTTCTGCACCCTCTTTAATGGCTCTTCACAATGTGTACTTCTCATCCTCAAGCTGTGCCCAGATACCTGGGGAAATCTGGCCACTGGCTATTCATTCTTCTGTCCCTGGGTCCTAAATTCCTGAATCTTGAGGACATGGGAGCAGCATGTTAATAAAAGAATAGATGAGCTCAGCTGTGGTTCAATTAAAGGGAAGGAAGCCCAGCAGGAAGTCCTGCCAGGTTACAGGACAGGAAAATGAGCTTTTTCATACTCCAGAGCTTTTTTGTACTCCAGAGTTCATTCTGAGATCAGTTTCCTAATGAGGTGTTTATTATCCACAGTCTGAGAGCATGTTTGGAAATACCGATACTATAATTCCAAAAACTATGCCAACTGTCTCAGCCTGTGCATGGAAGATGATTGTAAAAAGGATGGAGAAGACAGGAGGGAAGAGGAGAGGAAAGCGTCTTTTTAATTCTCCTGCTTTGCAAGCACAAATTCCTATCTAGCGGCATGTGGATTCCAGCCACAGCCAATCAGAACTGCCTGCTAAAGACCAGAAATTCAGAAGACCAGAAGAATATATACTGTTGCAGAAAGATCTCTTCTACTTCTGCTTGTCCCCCATTCACTCAGCACCAGATACTTTGGTAATCCTGTCTGCTGATTTCTGATCAGATGCATTTATCAGCTCCTAATGTCTCTCCTTCCTCTTAACTGCCTCTTCCGTGATTGATAGAATAAGCTAAGCACGGACATACAGACATGAAAATGCATTATTTTTTTTTTTTTTACCACAGTTAAAAAAAAAAAGAAAAAAAAAAAGAAAAAAATGCACAATCTTTGGAACAAAAGAATTAAAGGCAGAAATTTAAAAGAAAAAAATACATATTCAAAGAACATAGTGAGGTATAAAAAAGTATTCTCTCTTTTTTTTGTTTTTTTTTTGTTTGTTTGTTTGTTTTTCCTCTTCATCTTGCTATAGAGTTCCTCTACTAGTAAATATTGCAATAGCCAGGCCTCATGAACTGGGGGGCTGTCCCATTTGCAGGGGTCTCACGTCACTTCAGTAGGGGGCAAATCGGCTGTAGCCACCTCGGTATAAACTCGCCTGCAATAATTAAAGACATAAAAATAATTAAAAGGTTGATGACAGAAGCATTAAAAATGAAGACACATGTCCTGAAAAGGGACCAGGCAAACCACTTCCTTGGTAGCTTCAGAGTAGCTGGCCAGCGCTGCCTGGGCAGCAAGTCAGGAAGACACTTCTGGTTCCAGGTGCTCTAACTAGAACCCGGCCTGATCATGKCTGAGCTGCTGAGCTCCTGGTCTCCGGGAGAGTGTGAGGTCAGTTTACTGCATTATTTACATGAATCAGCAAAGAAAGGAAACATAATCCAGCTTGAAACTAGTTCTGAAAATAGTGTGATTTTTCTGAATCCAAGTCTGTCTACCTCAACGCACGACCACAGTCCTGACTGAAAACAGACTGCAGCGCCTGCCTGCCCCATGGCACCTTCCAGGGCACATGTCCTTCTGACTACCATCTCTAGCATTCGTGGCAACATCCTGTTTGAGATGTTGCATTCAAACTTAAGTCAATTTTTAACTAATAAAGTCCACTTCCTCTATAATCTATAAATTATAGTTTTCCTTCTGGTGTCTGTGGGGGACTAATTCAAGGACTACCCCTGGATACCAAAATCTGTGCATGCTCCAGTTGCTTATATAAAATAGCTTAGCATTTGCATATACCCACACACTCCCTCCTTCTACATTACTTACAATAATCAATGCAATAAAAATGCTGTGAAAGTCATTGATATACTAAATTATTTAGAGAATAATAATAATTTTTAAAAAAGTTCATACACGTTCAGTACAGACACAATTCCTGCCCCTCCAATATTATGGTTGACTGTATGGAAATGGAACCCACAGATACCAAAGAGCCAACTGTACAACTATATACCATGAGGTTGTTTCTTTCTTTCTCTCTCTCTTTTTTTTTTGTACTGGGAATTAAATTCAGGGGCACTCAACCACTGACTGAGCCAAATCTCCAGCCGTATTTTGTATTTTACTTAGAGACAGGGTCTCATTGAATTGCTTAGTGCCTCRCCATTGCTGAGGCTGGCTTCGAACTCACGATCCTCCTGTTTTAGCCTCCCGAGCCACAGGGATTACAGGGGCGCACCACTGCGACTGGCCACGAGGCTCTTTCTTTAAACTTTATCAAATGGATTTATCTAATGGCATCTCTCTCTCTTTCTCCTACAGTACTGGGGATTGAACCCAGTACTTTTGCCTTTGAGCTACATCCCCAGCCTTTTTTATTTTTTGAGACAGAGCCTTACTACATTGCCCAGGCTGGCCTTGAACTTATGATCCTCCTGCCTCAGCCTCCCAATTTAGTTGGGATTCCAAGTGTGTGCCACTGTACCTGGCTGGTTTGTGTCTTCCAATGAGAAGTTCCTCAGGAATATATTTTTCCTAGGGTCATTCTTTTAGTATATGAGTTTTTCATCTGGCACTAAATAAAACCTCAGAACCTTCCACCTCTATCTTCATATTGTCATCTCTACCTCAGTTCTAAACACACAGTCCGGAGGACCCCATTTCTTCCTTCCCCAAACTTGTACAAGTAGGAATTCAGTGTGAGAAATGACAGCTTTTATGCCTTAACTTTTACACTTCACTCTGCCTCCCTGTCAGGTAACTGCACCCGTGTCCAAAGGCATTGCCTAGATACCCACTGGACTGGAGAGTGCTTGGCATCAGCAGTATATCCATGGAATGGCCTCTCTCTCTGCCAAAGCCAGTGTATCCCAACTGGTGGCACAGTAGGTGTTCAGGCCAACACAAGATACTGTGAGGGGTCCTGGGTTAGAATGGAGCCTCTATGGGCCTCTGTACTTCCACGAAACACCATGTTTTGCCAGAACTGTTATTGATAACATATTCTCATAAATTGTTTACTTGGCAATTCCTAGTACTATCTACCAGAAGGCTAAGAATAGCAGAGACATCTTTTGGCATCTGCAACCGAAAAATTATACACATTAAGCTTTTTGGAAAGCTTACTGCAAAAACTGAGAGCTTTAGGTTCCCAAGACTGCCAATGCCTATCAATAAAGCTACACCACCAGTTTGTACTCAACATTAGAACCAACATGAAACATCAATCCATTCCCTTATTCCTCTCAGGGCAGACTGTCACCATCCATTCTTTCCTGCAGTTGTTAGAGGCCATGTGGCTGGTCCTGCAGCACACAGATAAAGAGGGTAAATTTCCAGAGACCTAAGTGGCTTTGACACTACTTCCCTAGATCTTTTACAATTTGTGGGTAGATGTTAGAAGGACTAAAACAGTTTATATAAAAAGATAAATGAACTTACCACAGCGCCAACTCCATAGCTAGCGGCAGGGGCAAGGGCATGGTAGGGGTCGGCTGTGTATACCCTGCCGTAACTGGAAGAAAGAAGCACAATCAGAGAGCGGCAGTAAAGCCTGCGAGCTAAACAAGTCAAGGGTGTGCTGTGTAAAGACGGGCAAGGTACTTGACTTGGACYGCTTTCAGGAAAACTGGCAGAATGGAAAAAACCTTTCTATTTCTTACCCTTGAACTCAATAACTGAAAAATTCTTAAATTCTTCTCTAAAAGGAAAGGAGGGAGTTGGAAATGAGGAAGAGGGAGACTGTAGTTGCAACTCAAGTAGAAAAAGAACCTGAAGGAGTCAGGGGCTCATGCTTTGGCACACAGAGGCCATGAAAAGTGGGCTGGCAGGAGGCCCGGGAGACAGCACTGCTCTGGAAAGGAGAAGAGGAAGAGGAGGTGGTGCCGAGGCTGGTGCGGTTCCCTCAGGCTCTGTACGTACCCGTCGCTGTAAGCGGCGGCAGCGGCGGCAGCAGCGGTGGCTGCGGTTGCAGTAGCAGGCTGTGCATATCTGTAGGCTGCATATCCACCCTACAGGAGAGAAGAGAACTGACTTTACAGACACCTCTCCTGGGGGCAGGTCCACACACACCCACCCACACGCAGACACACATGTGTAGACACAGGGCAGACACGAACACAGACACACACATGGGAAGGAAATGTTTCAAACTGCCATCAGTCTGCATGTTACTCCCCTACTAGAAAGTAAGCAGGAATTTGCTTCTCTTTGTGATAGTACCAAAAATAAGGCATACAGGTAGTGTTCATTAATTTAAAAAGATACAGATGTGACTTTGGATCTGCCTTTCTTCTGTCTTTGTTGGAACTTTCAACAGGGAAAATATTCATGGAATGTTGAGAGAACTCCAACTGACAAGAAATGCAAATTATGGAGTTAAAACAAGCTCATCTCTGTGTCAACTTCAGAGTCTGATGCGCACCTGGACTGGTTCATTACTAGGGACCACAGCACAGAACAGAAAGGTCTGACACAAAGCTTGGCTGCATCTGGCCCAGCACATTTGCCAAGAGTCCCAGATGACTAGACAGTGTGTGTTTAGAAGCAAAGAACAGAGTAGATCAGGGTTGGCAAACCTTGCCCTGGGAGCTAATGCAGTTTGTCACCTGTCTTTCAAAGTTCTTGTGACAGAGACTGCATGGCTTAAAAAACCAAAAATATTTATCTACTACTTGGCCCTTTATAGAAAAAATTGACCAATGACAATCTACATCTCAGACTGGCAAACCAGACCACAAATGGCTGAGGAGCCTTTGGCTGGATTCCAACAGTTCAGGCGCCATTTCCCCAAGGCCCTTAACTGCATTTATTTCCCCTCCCTAAACCAGGCTTACATTCCTAGCCTCATGCAGGTGCCTCAAGCCTTCCTTCCAATGGCCCAGAGATCCTGTCAATCCTAAGCAGTTTCAGCCCACCAGAGCCTGAGATTTCTCTTCTATTTAGATGAACCAAGACTTTCACTGGATGGGGAAACACGGGTTCCTTAAGGACATATTCAAAGACAATCCCCACAAATGGCCCATGAGACAGGCCACAGTGAAAAGTGGCAAGCCCTGTTTTTCTTTACCCTTTGAGAATTCATCTATTTTTTACCTAAACCTAATTCAGTTGCAGATTTTTATTATTGCCCTTTTATTGTCAAAAATAGCTGTTAAATTGGTCCACTTGGACACCACTTCAGTAGTGAATAATAGCACAAACATTTTATTCCTGCAGATTAACAGTATACATTTTTCAGGGACATCTACTTTGTGTTCCTTCAAAGGTTTAGATTTTGATCAATCTACAAAAGAAATTTCACATTAACTTCTGTATGGCTCCTTATGATTAGAGTGAGTGTTTGCCATCTGATGCAGTCATTTCTACCTTGTTTCACTCTATCAAATTTTACTTTGGAAATGTCTATGAATTTATGGGCTTCTAAAGCTTTTTGCTTCTGTCTTGTATAATTCATGCTTTCTCTAGCTGAAGAAACTGCAAGGTCAGGGAAAATTCACTTTGCTTTTTAAGTTTATGATGTGTGAAGTCATCACCATATATATATTTATATGGATGAAATCCTAAACTGATTTTCAGTAGTTATGTGTTATTCTTTCTTTATTCTTCCAGTGACTCAGAAAAGTAAATATTTCCTTCTTAATGTCAAAACATTCTATAGATACCCTAAAAATAAGAAAGTTCTAATTGATATTAACAAATACTGGCAGTGAAATGGTCCTGGGTGGGGACATGACAGTACCCTGTGGGACTATCTGTGACCAAGGGCTCTTTGGAATTCTAGCCAGGTCTCTGAGAATGGGCAGGCAAGAACTGATGTGGACAAAGCTAGACACCCTGGCTGTGACATATAGCTCACTAAGATTTCTTTACTTCTATTTTGAAGCTTCTAAAGAAGACACAAAGCAGTAAAAGCATTTGCTAAATAAAGCAGAAGTTAATCATCACAGTTGAAATGTTAACTGAACCCTAAAGGCTCAAATATCGTAACTAGGGATGRTTCCATTAGTTTAGAATTAGAGCTAGTGCTAAGTCTAAAGCAGGGCTACCTTCAGTAAAACTACTTTTTTTTTTTTTTGAGGGGGGTACCAAGGATTAAACTCAGAGGTGCTTAGCCACTGAGCCACATCCCCAGCCCCTTTTAATATTTATTTTGAAAAGGGTCTTACTAAATTGCTGAGGCTGGCTTTGAACTTGCAATCCTCCTGAGCCATTGGGATTATAGGTATGCACCACCATGCCCAGCAGTAAAACTTTTTTTGTAAACAAGGTCAATTTAGTAATATGTGATTTGTCTCTTTAGTATTTCTTCAAACACCAAAATAATCTTTAAAAAATAAAAGCAGTTAAGGCCAGATTCATGCATGAAAGCATTTTTAAAAAGGGGCATACTCCTAGAGCAAAAATAAGGGATTCTTATTAAAAAATTCTGAGTGCACATGTGAGGAACTGGGTTTAATCCTCAGCACCACATAAAGATAAATAAATAAAATAAAAAGGTACTATGTCCATCTACAACTAAAAAAATTAAAAAAAAAGAAAAAGAAAAAGAAAAAAAGAATTCTGAGGCTCATATGTTTTAGGCCTGACTCCCAGGAAGCAATACTGGAGTGGAAATATTACAGTTATATTCTCTTGATTTTACTAATTCTGGGAAAGAGAGGTTCTAAGGGAGGCTACTGACAGGACAGGTTCTCCTCACATTTTTTCTGATGTGCAAGAAGCCAGAGACCCTTAGGAGTAACGTCACTGCTATCGAAAACAATTCAGAACAGATCAGACTATGGGAATGAATCTTCCTTCGGATCTAGAAGGAAATGGACAGACTGCATCCGCAGTAGTTTCCTTCTTTTGTAAGTGAAACTCTGACTTTGGAGTCTAAATTTCATGAGACTCTCTGTGATTCAAGTTCAGAAAAATAGGACAACAGAAGGCTTGTGAGGAGCATTAGCACTAGGAAAAACTTTGTCCATAGTTTTTTTTAAAAGCATATCATCTGGGCTGTGGCTGTGGCTCAGGAGTAGCGCACTTGCCTGGCATGTGTGAGGCACTGGTTCAATTCTCACTACCACATATAAATAAATAAAGATCTCAGGGCTGGAGTGGTGGCTCAGTTGTAGAGTGCACACCTGGCATGCATGAGGCACTGGGTTCGATCCTCAGCACCACATAAAAACAAAACTAATGTATCCACCTAAAACTAAAGATAAATAAATAAATATTAAAAAAAAGAAAAAATAAATAAAGATCTATCAACAACTAAAATAAATAAATAAATAAATAAATAAATAGAAAGCAAAGCACATCATCCTTCATCACAACCTCTTTCCTAGAGCCTGTGTGATTACAGCAGGAAGGAGCAGTCCTGCAAAGGAGGGACAAGTCCCAGCCACCACACTAACAAGGTAACTCATCAGTGACTATTCCCAAATAAGAAAAATTGTGTATCATGGACTTATTCCTCTTAGATACATATTCTTGCTCCAGAGTATTTCTGTTGCTGCTTAAATTGGTCATTCAACAAAATATTTCCCCCAAAATGTAGGGCAAAATCCAGACCTATGTATTTGTAGTCTGGAGTTCAGAGTGCATAAAGATTCAGGCCGAGAAGCTGTTTTTCAACTTTCCGTTCTGCCAGCAGATCTGAAGGCTTTATGGAACATGAGAACAAAGTGCAGTTTGAAACACCAAGGTTTTCATTACTATTTCTTAAATTTTTCAAAAAGAACAAGGTGGGAAGGGGGTAGGAGAGAGAGGGTTCAGGCGTGGGGAGGGGATATGGCGCCACATTTATTAATCACATTAAAACTAAGCATGCCAACATCTGGAGCTAAAACAACCAGCAAAATCACCACGTTCAGACTGTGTTGGCTAACTCTATCTATCCCAGCATTCTCTTGGGACAGCGGTTTGCCCTAGGCTCTACCACAAGCTCGGTGAAGTACACAGCCTCAATTACTAGAGCGTGCAGCCACAACGACCTGGTATTACGGAAACAGTCAGTCACCACTGAGTTAACATTCCATACCCTAACGACTGCCCCCCAGCCCGAAGGAAGAGTAAACCTTGCCCACCCTAGCCCTGGCCCACACCACAATGTTAATAATTATAACAAGCAGTAACCCATCTGTTATATCAGAGAAGGGAACAGAGACTCCACTGAGAGATTTAGAGTGAGATGTTAACATTTCTTCAGCTGACTGCACAAACAAACAAACAAAAAAAGAGGAGAAATAATTCATTTGGAGATATGAAGTCATGAATAGCTGATGTGTACTGCTTTTAACCATGCACTGATGCAAAACTGAAGCAACCATTAATAATAAAAATTAAAAAGGACATAATGTATTTACACACAATCAGACCTGTTGGATCTGAAGCAGTTTGCAGATTCTATCTGTGTGTGATTTGAAATAAAACAAAAAATGGGGATTAGCATGGCCACAGCACACCCTGATGTAGGAGGGCACACACAGACAGCTTTTTGGAACTCTGAGATTGTATAAATTTGGCATGGTTAAGCCCGATTCAAATACACTCTTGCCCCTTGAAAAATAATGACTTTCTTTCCCCTTTGCAATTCATTTTGGATGACTCCTGATGTTCACAATGCTACCTCACTCTCCTTCTAACCTGCCTGATCCTGACAGCATAGTTCAGCCTGGACCCACACACTTGCTTGCATGTTTGTCCTCTATGAACGGGCACCTAGTCTGACCCAGTGTTCTTCTAGAATCATTCCTGTACTGAAGAATCTTATTTTTTTTTAACATATTCATAACATATCTTTGTGCCTTCAATTTCTGGCATTTTCAAAGGAAAATGCTGTTGCCTTTAAGATTCTTTTCTGTAATGCCTTCTGAAGCTGTTTAAGCAAAGCCTCAGATATCCACAGTTCCATGTCACTTCCTCAGGTTTTGTTTTCTACTCTGAATTAGTTTTTTATCATCTAATTAACCTGACAATGCTGCCATACTGACTGCACGATTCTTCTGCACAGTTCTGCAGCGGT